GCCCACCCCGCCCGGCTGGAAACTTCCCCGCGGGAGCCTGGCCCTGGGCCTTTGCCTCCCTCCCACCTTCGCTCCGGCCGTTGGGCGCCGTTCCCCGCGGGTGCCGGGGCTGCCCGCCCGCTCGTGGCCTTTTTACCCGTCCTCTCGTGATTTCCCAGGAGCTGTGTCCTCTGTGTGCACTTGCAGGTGTCGGGAAGTCTTCGCTTGTTCACCTCTTGTGCCAAAACCAGGTGCTTGGAAACCCGTCCTGGACAGTGGGCTGCTCGGTGGATGTTCGAGTAGGTGACGTGTCTGACCTTTTGGTATCCCAAGCTTAAAGTAAAGAGAATGGCCTTGACCTTTTTTTTTTCCCTTCTTTTCATTACTTAAAGCCCCAGAAAGATGTGTGTTTCCATGTTTTGTTCTGCTGAGGGCTTAATCTTTTCAGGCAAATAGTATTAAATGTGAGCCAAGCACTTGTGTGAACAAGTTTTGACCTTCCAAGGTTGTGGAAATCACGAGATATTTGTCACTCCTAGCACCTCTCGATATTTGTCGTTCCTAGCACCTCTCCTTACTGCAGTGGCCACTGGTGTGTTACCAGTCGTGGAGTGGCCGGTTTAAGTCAAAAGGCACAGAGCTTAAACCATGCTTCCCTGAGAAACAGTTAATGCACAGCTAAACTGTTAGCCAAACATACCACGAAAAAACAATTTGTTTGTTTAGTTTGAGTGTACTGACCACGACCATAGGGTTGCTTCTCCTGTCTGCTCACTGCAGTCAGAGTGATGATGATATTTATCAAGCAGGTTTTTTGGCCCAACCTACAATCCTTATGGGATAGCGATAAACACTTTTTTTCCTCTATCGCTCTTTGCCACATTATCCTTGAAATGCATTGCCATAGGAATATATTTCCAAAATTTGGGGAAAGAAACATGGCAGTCCTGTTTGGAGCAAAACAACCTAGCAGATCCAGGGGCAAAAATTGTTGGTCGATTCATTAATTCTGTTGAGATGTTAATGATAATTTGGAAAGGAAAAAGATGTGGTCTGTTATAATCAGATGTGGTCACCCGTGTGAATATTCTTGCAGTGCTACCATGTGGGTTTTAACAACTGTAAGAAGTCATGATCTTACTTCTGCTTTAGCAACATGTTATTTCTAAGCACATCATGAGGTGTCAGGTTTGTTAATACTGAGATGGAAAGGATACTCCCTGCTGACTCAAAGTTCCGTCTTGTAGAAGAGCTGTGGTATCCAGTGGCCACTTGACTCATTCCATCTCTCTTTTGCTCCAGAGATTTGAAATGATGTCAGCATGAGAATTTACAAATTTCTATCCAAGTACAATAATCCTTTCAGCTGAATGTGCAAGTGTTGTGTGAATTAACTCCAATGACCTGGGGTTGTGGTTATGTATGATGTGAATTTTTCATCAGATCCATGACTACAAAGAAGGGACTCCAGAAGAGAAGACCTACTACATTGAGCTGTGGGATGTTGGAGGTTCAGTGGGTAGTGCCACTAGTGTGAAAAGCACACGAGCCGTATTTTATAACTTGCTGAATGGTAAGTTTGTTTAGTGTAAGTCTGCTTTTATCACTGTTTCTGTTACAAGCTGTCTCTTGGGTTTTGGGGCAGGATTCCTTTAAGTCTGGCTGAGGGCTATATTCTTCTCTTTTCTGATTCCAGTACATTTATACAGGAAAAAACCTGATACAATCCATCTGGAGAATTTTATGGATTCCGTTTTGAACTGGAAAGCTATTTTAGGTAAACCTGTGCTTCATCAGCCTTTCACTTCAGACTTGTGCAGCTGGCACAGCAGGGAGTCTTTGAAGTTGTAGTGATGTCCTTTCCAGCTACACTTGAAGACATAAAGGTCGCCTTCACCTTTCCAGGCGTGATAGATGTGCAGAAATACGATTTATATTTTCTTGTCTGTTCAGTTCCAAAACCACAGTAGAGAAATAATTATTTTAATTAATATGAACTTCCATAGTTATATCCTACCCTGGCAAATTTGAACTGTTCTCCCATAGAACTGCAATATGCTGATAACCATCTTGTCTCTGCTCAATTTGCCAAATTATTTTTAATAATTGAATCTTGCAACTTGCTGTATAGAGAAAGTAGTATTTTATGCCTTCTGTCAAGATACTGACTTAAAGGCCTAGTAGTTCATCAGCACCACTAATAAGAGCAAATAAGATATTATAAACTTAACAGTGCAGGATTTCAGTTGTTACTTTTTGCCATCCAAGGATAGCTTACTAAAAATAGGTGTATACTAGATTAACAACTGCTCTGAAAAACTGTCTCAGATGTTCTGTTTGACTCTTTTCTTGTTCCCAGTCATTTGAAGGCCATTCAGTAATGTGTTAAGGCATACGATAAACATTTTTGATCTGTGATGACTTAACTAGTTATTTCTGCCTTCTTTCCTAGGAAGAAGACTGTGTATAGGTACCTCTTACTTAATATTGTTAATCACACTTCTGTAAATAAGGTTTGAGTTGAGTTGTGCTCTCAAAGCAAGCCTCTTTGGTATATGAAAAAAAAAAAAAAAGGATTTCTCTTTGACACCAAATCCACAGTATGCAAGTGAGTGTGGGTCAGACTTGGAAGTATGCTAGAACAGCCCATTAGGAGATGAGATCTTGAACTTATGTGTCTAAATGATAATTGGTGACGTTATTAAAATAGAGTTATTTATCTCCACTGCCCAAACGATATTATTAGGCAGCTCTCATGAAAACTGTTGACTTTGGTAGGTAGCCTTGGCTCTAGTTTCTTTCATTAGATTAATTTCTTCATTAGAGCTTGTCTCACAAATTGTCTCTCTTTGACCTTCTTTGAGAAGATGAACGTTTTCCTTCTGCCTGGCTGCTTGTGCTTTCTCTGCTTGCAGTGGTCTGAAAACCTGAGATCAAAAGACAACATTTGGTTGTGACAGCATTTGTGCAGGCTGTCAGGGAGACCTGGTTGTTGATGAGGTTAGGTACAGTTTGCTCTTGGTTTGACCGCGGATCTTCTGCTTTGATGACCCTGCATCTGGTGTGTGGACTGTGATAGTTTGGGACGGTGACTAGGCAGCAAGGCTGTGGCTTACAGACCTTAATGGGGGAGGAACATTTCCTTGAGTAGTCATCGGCCCTGCTTGCTCTTTTTTGATGTTAACACAGTCTTTTTGTGCTGTTGCAACTAGCTGAGTAGGTTTTGGGTGAAACAGATAAAGGAACTGACCAATCAAAAACATAACTAAAGAAGAGTGTCTGGAGGTGGAGTGTGTTTCTCACAGATTATGCAGCAGTGCCTCTGAATCTGTTGCCGTAGGCCAAGTTATGTTGTATCAGGCTTTTTTTTTTTCCCTGCACTGGGGGTGGACATGCATTTGAGTTGCCTTTTTATGCTGTCACTGAGATAAATGCTTTGAAATAAGGCCGTGATCGTGATATGCTGGGAACTCTCATAGAAGAATCTGCACAGTTGGGGGGGTTAACGGAAAACGTGGAAACATGGTTTGTTTGTAGTGTGTACAGTGGGTGGCACCTTTGGGAGTTAAGGTGAAAGATTAAATTAATAAGTTTTCTCCACCTGTAGACTGAAGTGTGTTGAGAATGAATCCTGATGAAGGTAAGGGGTATAATTCCATTTTGTCATTGAATTAATGATGGTTTGAAGTCTGGAGGAAGTGAGAACATTGCACAGGTTGCAGAAGGTGTGAATAAATAGAAATTTGCTAGCATGGGTTGGTTATTGAGTTAGGAACTGTGGTTATCAGAAGTGGGTGTCTGTTAATAGCACAGCCAGGAAGTTTGGCTGGGTGTTTTTATATCTCAGAATTTACATTTTAAAGGATCATGGTAATGAAAAATGTGAGCAACTTAATCTTAAATACATGAAATCTTATTAATTGATGGTTCTACCAGCCATTTGGTGGACTGAGAAAGTTTATCAGAGTCTGTTTCCCCATTGCATACCTCCCCAAGTATGTAGCATTAGTTCTTGAAAATGCAGGAAAACAGTAGTGTTCTCTAAACTCTTTGAAACAAAGAAACAGCCTTTAGACTTCTTGGATGGTGTGACAAAAAGATAGTTATGTTTGCCAGTTAGATAAAAACAGAGAAAGGCTAAATTCTCTGCTGCAGTAATACAGAGTTTCAGTATCATTAGAACTAGACAGAGCAGAAGCCGGGAATGTCTGCAAGCCTCTTGCGAATTAAACCCTGAGGTGACTGTTTGTTTCCTCCTTTCATGAGATTTTTCTCTTAGCTCTTATCCAATTCATGATAAGCAGCTTTAAAAAACCTGTTGCAGCCTGATATTTTCAGCTTTATTCATTCACTGTAACTGAACCAGTTATATATCCGTTTCTTCATTCTGAGGTATCTGGGAACCTGCAGATGTCATTTTGGTAAGATAAGATTTTAAAAAAAAAAATCATTAAATAGCATCTTGCTGTCTTCGCTTTTATTTAGGGATAATTTTAGTGCATGACTTAACCAACAAGAAATCATCACAGAATTTGTATCGCTGGTCTTTGGAAGCACTCAACAGAGATGTCGCTCCAACGGGAGTTCTTGTGACAAATGGGTGAGTGAAAACATACGTGCAGGGTTAAGACACAATAATTCCAAGGTGTTATGGAAGTCTTTGTTCATCCCTAAGGCTACTTGAAGTAGATGTGGCTAGACTTTTAAGGAAAAAAGGAAAAAATGGGAGATATAAAAGAAAATCAGTGTTCTTTTTGTTTTACACTGCCATCGGGTCATTCTGCCAGTAGATTCCCAAACCAGGTGCAAGAGACCTTGCTTTAAGGGAAGAGATGTTTACCACAGCCATCATTTGTCTGAGTCCTCTGTGAGAGTGGCTCCAGTCTGTTCAGAGATATGCAAAGTCCTCATACAAAAAGTGTTGTGGGATGGCATGTCTGTTCCAAAAGGTTTTCCTTCCATGCACCAAGACTGAGGAAGTTTATTTCATTATTTTTTGTTTGGGGCGATGGGAGAATTATTTCAGGAGTGTAGCTAAAAAAGAGTTTAGAAAACTCTATCTAAACAGCCTGTTCATAATTAGATTTCCAACATCTTGTCAAGTGTTTCCTCCTTAACCTCCACGTTCCTGTTATACATGAAGTCAAGGAGGCTTTAAGATCATTGATAAACCTCACACGTGGGCAGGGAAGCAATAATAAGGGGCAGATTTTTGTGAGAAGAATATTAATTGTTCATCTGCCTGTGCTGATACATGGGTGTTTTTGTAGAAACATGGGAGAAGAGAAAGAGGATTTGCATTGTATAAACTACAAATATCTCCTGTTTTTCCACATACAGGTTCTTCACAATTGTTTTAATTTTTAAAAACTTAACTCCTGTCAGAGACAGATACTCAGCCACTAGCAATTGCTTTGTCAAGTTGTTGCTGTTGGTTGTAGAATTACTTTCTAGAAAGCTTGCTTTAGGTAAAAGTACAAGTGATTATCCTAGCTGAGGAGAATGATTGGAGCTTGGATTTGTGATGACATTTATTTGCAATCTTATTTATTTTATCAAGGCTGTCTTTGATCATTATTTATATCTGAATGAAAGCTTGTTGGAATTCACATTATATGGCTACCTTTACTTGAATGTAGACTTAGTAACTTGACACCCCACAGCTGGTACTACAACCCTCTTTGATCTAATGTGGAAAGGGGAAGTGTTTTGCAGTTATAACTTATTTCATTAAAGAGTGTATGTATGTAGGAAGTGTAGATGTTCAGAGATGCCAACTCCCTCATCTGTCTCTGGTGGCTGCATACGCTTGGTACAATACTGGAATTCCTGTTTCTTTCCTGCTTGTGTGATCATTTCTTCTGTGGTTCATCTACACTGAGAAGAAATCCAACTTGTGGTTCTCTCTTTCCTTTCAATCCCTGTGCAGTGACTTAGATGCAGAAGCCCTTCTTTAATTTACAGATACAGCACATTCTCACTCAGACAAATAATGACCCTTAATAAACAAATGACTGTTATTTGAAAGGCACAGGGGAGCTGATGGCGCGTCTGTGCCCACTTACGTGACCATCGCTTCATTTAGGTTTTTATTTGTTTGCCTCATCAGTGACTATGACCGTGAACAGTTTGCTGATAACCAGATTCCACTGCTGGTAATAGGAACTAAGCTGGATCAGATCCCGGAAACTAAGCGGAATGAAGTTTTGACCAGAACCGCTTTCTTGGCTGAGGATTTCAATGCTGAAGAGATAAATTTGGTTAGTATCCTTGTCAACAGTGTTTTTCTTTTAGATGGCAGTGAGTCTGATTTTTTTTAGTAAGTAAAGATGTGGCAAAAATTGAGCTTTTGGAGATTTTCCTCAGTAATGCTGGAGTTATGCACATTCTGGTTGGCCATCCCCCTTGCTTGATGAAACTATCGTCTTTGTTTCATTATAGGGAGGTGCAGTGGGTGTTAGATAATGTCACTGAAGCTTAGAATTGATGGTTGGGAGTTAAGTTTTCTCTTCCTTCTTCTCGGTTCTGACACCAACTATCTTTGAATGAAACATCAAGATAACTTTCCATAGCAAATGTGTATATATATGTATAAAACTATACACGTGCTGTGTGAATGCTTCTATATACACACACATGCATATACATACACGCACAACCTTGGGTAGCTTGTACAGATTATTAGCTGACTGTATAGCTGGTGGTAGAAGGAAGACACGGAGCACATAGAGGGGTGCTTAGAATTCTGTTTGATTCACAGACAGAAGTTGGCCTTTTCTCTCCAATGACTGTGGAGCAGAAATCAGGAGATAGACTGTTTCCCTAGCTAGTTGCACATGGGTGTGTCAGGGGAAAGGGTACATAGATTGCCACCTGTATGGCTTCGTTGTGTTGATTTCCTTGTGCTGGCTTGTCTTGTGGGCGTTCTAGGATTGCACCAATCCTCGTTATCTGGCTGCAGGTTCATCCAATGCTGTCAAACTAAGCAGGTTTTTTGATAAGGTAAGTTAAACCAATTAAATTACGTTTTGTTGTTCTGTGTATTGAATGCTATTTGTGATTTGAACATGGAACAACAGCTCCTTTCACATTCTGGTTTTTGAGTTGGTTCAAGACAGGTGTGGGGAGGCCAAAGATTGGTCTGCTTTTGGAAACCTCCAGCTGATCTGCTTGAAGGTTTGATTATTGATCTGAGTAGAGCAATGAAAAAGAACTCGTAAATGTGCAGAGACCCTCTGTGTACGCTTTTGGAGTCCTTTGGCACGCCAGAGGGTCTGTAGTGTGCTAAGGTAATAATGTGGGGAATTTCAAGACTATGGTTAGCTCTGTTGATCCTGGTTAAAGCTAACTTTAGGAATTAGGAAATTTGGCATGTTACTCTCCCTTCCTGCAAAAGAGAGCATCAGGACCTACTGTGAAAATGACAGGAGGAATGCTCTGGTTTAAACATCCCCTGGACAAAGATATAGTGGAGCAGACCACCTCCTGTATCAGATCATGCTTTAGAGGAAATTTCACCGCAGTTTTCTTTGGAGGAGCATGTAGATTGTATGGAGTGATACAAATCACTTTTTCATTCTTAGATTGATGGTACTGCCTCCATATGTATCCTTCAGCACAGACATCATTGTCAGAGTACGAGTCAGGCTACCTCTGCTCAAGCATCACCTATGCCCAGGGGCTACTCAGAACCACTGGAATTGTTACACACCTGCAGAATGAGGGTTTTTTTCTAGTGCTCAGAACCACTGCACCTGCAGGGAAGAATTGGAATAGCTGACTCTGCTGCAGTAAGGAGACACCCAAACCATCACCCAAACCATTACTAGAGGGCTATAACTCAATTAGGTGTGTAGAAGTTGAGGATAACACAGCTTTACTAAGAATGGCCAGAGGTGGCAACTCCTTCTGTTGTAATAGAGTGTTGCACTTAAAGCAATAGGCCTGGAGCAGGGGACATGGGTTTAGACCTTATCATGGTTAGCCATGAGTTTCAGTGCTCACATGTGGTGTTGCTTGCAATCTGAAGTTATGCATATGCTGTGCCAGCTAAGATCATTCTCTGGTTTTCCCAGGTCATAGAGAAGAGATACTTCTTAAGAGATGGCAATCAGGTTTGTAATTTTACCTCCTTTTTTGTTTGGGTTTTTTTTTCCTCCCTGTGTAATGTAAACTGATGACAGAGTCCTCTTTAAAACAGGGGCTTCGTGCAACTTAAATGATAATCTGTGCTGGTAACTGAGTTTTTAAATCTGTGGGAGCACAGCTGTTTTGAATAGAAAAATGGCTGGCTTTTGTCAGCTGAAGTTATTTGTCCATAGTATGATTGGCGGTGAAATAATTAAGTATGCTAACATAGTAGAAGTTGCAAGAGTGAGGGAAAATGGGCAAATATGATCTATTTCAGATCTGTCACTGTCAGTCTGCTTGGTTACAGATTTAGGCCAGAAATGCTGTCCTGAAGGTCAATGCAAAGGCTCTTTTTGCATATCTGGAAGTAGCATTTTGTCTTGCGTGGGTAGTTCTCATAGAACCAGTGGAGCCACAAGGAAACTGGCAGTATGATACCAGCTTGTAATTAATTCCTAAATGGCTGAATTAAATGCTTTCAGTACAGCTGGTGAAGAACTAGAAAAATTACTTCTGTGGTTTGAGCAGGCCATTTCAACTTTTTGTGCTCCCCACCTTCTGTGGGCAGCCTACCATGCAGGGAGTAGCGAGGTTCCACTTCTATCTGTGACGTGCTTGCAAAGTACCATGAATGGCACCATGGAAATAAATTGAATGCATCGTTAGATGTAGCGGTGCTGAAAGCTCCTTAGAGCTAGTGGGGGAAAAAAACAGTCACAAACTACCAAATGCTTACTTTCTTTGAGGTTTTTTTTAATGCCTTTTAAAAATAAATTTGGTTTTTCCTGTTTCAGTTCTGCATGATGCCTTTTTTCCTCCCCGTGTTTTAGTGAAAGGAAGTATCCCTTGCATGGGGATAATAGCTTCATGCAAAAATCTGCTTGTGTGCTAGTTGTATTTGATGCATGATGTAAGATTTTTATTTTTCTTACTTGATCATTTTTAGTGGCTACCCAGGGATTAACTCTATTCCTTATGGCTATGTGCCAAAGATTAAAGCCTTCTGATGGCTACTTTCATCTGAAAACAGCTTAAACAGATCTTAAATAGTGGACAGTCATATTTAAAGAGAGAAAATCCAAATTGGAACTGGAGATTTCATTATAACCTATTAACATTACTATTTGAAATGATCTACTTAATGTAAATCTTACAAATGTGTTTGTGGGTTTTCTACAATAGGTCTCTTCGATCACTCGTGTTTTGAGGTATTTGTATTATAGACTTCTTCAGGATGAAAAGAATGATAAGTTTCAAATTGTTTATAGCTATGATTTTGATCAGATCTCTGATAAATAAATGTTACTCTTAATTAATGACTTTGATGTAAAAAAAATGCTAAAGCAGGTAAGTTTTCACCTATGCTGTCCTGCTACTTTTTAGTTATAATGATTGCATTTTTCCTTTTTGAATTCCCAAAGCAGATTTCATGAGATGAACCTTTGTGCAAAATTTGCCTGATTTTTCCCTCAGAGATGATTGCTTTTCAGAGATGAACAAAACAATTCCTGAATTGAATACCTTGCTTATCTGAGTTTTGGGCTTGAAAACCCTGACTAAATTTAAATTGTGTCAGTTTTTAGTAAACTTTTATTTTGGGTAAGCTCTTTAGCTTTCTTAGTTTACCAGTGAAGTGTGTAACCTAAGCAATCTACTTTGTATTGTAAATTACATTTTTCATCCCAAAGCCCGTGTTCCCGCTGGCGTGATTTGTAGCGTTTGGTTGATGTCTTCCATTTTAATACACTGTATTTCCTCTGTGAGTGTGGAATTGTTTTGGGAGGATGTCTTTACTGGGTCTGCTGTTTCTGCTTGTGTGTAGTCTGGACTGTAATCAGATACTTTTTTGATGCCAGTAGGACAGACATCTTACACAGTAATAGAAAGCAGTACATCTCTTTCCTGTGGGGGATTCAGGGGTGCATTGGATTGCAAATCTGTTTGAAATACCGTTAAGCCAGAGAAGCTTCTGATGGTTTCAAGTAGATTTTCTTTGTAAGCACTCATTGTCATGGTGTAAACTGTATCTACAGATTGACTGCAAAAGCAGGAATGCTAATCCTTTGCATTGTTGCAGCCATTTCTATTTTGATGGTTTTCTTAAAGCTTTTAACAGTTGATAAAACTGTACTTTCAACTACCAGTGAAGTGCTGCTGTCTCAGGTTAGAAGGCTAGAGTCTCATCAGCAATTTAATAGGACTCAGTAATACTATTTTGTAGTTTTTAAAATGAATGGAGGAGAAATTCTTGTATGCATTTGAATCGGGGGGGAAATACAGGCTTTGAAATCTGTAATTAACTTTTGTAATTAACTGAATTTGCCCAAGAAATTAAGGCTTTCATTATAACTCTTGCCAAAAAGCCTTAAGGAGCTCTGTAGAACAAATGAGCCATACTCAAGTTTTGCCTCTTGTTTAATCGATGGTGATCCTCTAGCAGTAAGCTGAAGCATTCTAGCCCTGATTTTGGAGACGGCATGGAAGAGGAAGGCGTTCTTGCAGCTGGCTTGGTAACAGGCGCTCCAGTGTGGGCTAGAGGGAGCTCATGCTGATTCTGATGTGACATGATGACTTCTTTTTCCTGTCTCTAGATTTCTGGCTTCTCTGAAAGGAAAAGGTTTGGAGGAGGAACGCTGAAGAGCCTTCATTATGATTGAACAGAAAGAAGTGGAAGATGACTTCTCCAAGATCCTAACGACATTCCCATTCCGTCTGGATACTTAAAGACAATAATGCTTATTTAAAGCAGAGTAAAATGGTATGACAGCTGGGTAAACTGCTGAAGCTGCTTTTGCTGGAAAAGACTTGCGGAAGAATTTCCAAAACTCTAGTCTGAAGCCTAGAGTTCTTCTTAGGATTGCAGGCCATCTGGATATATGGGAACATTTGAGGAAAGTGTGCAATAAATTGAATGTGTCTCACACTGCCGTGGGAAACTTTATCATACAGAGCATGTATACGTGACATCTTTGTCTCTATTTTGGAAAACTTATGGACAGTCTTTGCAATGAATTACATTCATCTTGCCTCTAAAGGAAAGAATGGGCTTCTCATTTATAGTGAAGTGAGCAAGATGTTAGGATGGGTAAGGAATGGTCGGGTAAATAATAGAATGCCTTCAGTAAATGAATGGTGGTGTCTCACCTGGAACGCACCCTTCAGCCCTGTTTAGAAGGGATAAAAGTAAGAGGCAAGAGATGAAAAAAAGATTTGAAGCCTTAAATTCATGAGTAGAAAACAAATGGTATTAATTCTACTGCTTAAATTAAAATTGTTTACTTTGGAGAGAACAAAGTGAAGCAGGTACTCCTGTTTGTCTTTTCATAATTGAGTGTGGTCTTGTTCTTTGTATTAAATTAAAAGGCAGTGCACTGGAAGTTGATGGAATAAGTATGTATTTATACAGTGCTTATTTGGAACAAGTGTGACATGGTCTTACTGAGCCTGAGGGCTTAGTGGATTTGGAAAATGTGAAATGTAAGAACATCCTCTGCATTAGAACAGATAGAAATTTAAAAGGGATATAAAGCCCTGTAAAAAGTAGGAACTGAATATGATTATAGGGGAAGTTCTGTAATAGGGATGTTTCCTTTTCATATTTAATACTAAGGATAAAGGAGGCTTGAACTGGTCTGATCTACTGTGCAAGCTGCTGTCTTCCTAAATAGCCCAAGCTTTGCAGTTTCTCACCTCCCCAGAATTAAATGGAGTGGTAGAAGCCTGATTTGTGGCAGTTTCTTCTTTCCCCTCCTTCCTCACAGTCATCTCTAATGATTAAGCCTCTGGCAAAGGCTAACTAAGAGCTGGAGTTAGATATAAATACAGATTAATAATAAATGGGGATACAAGAAAGTAAAATGCTGATGTGAAACTGACAGCAGGCAGAGTTCTGCAGTCTCCAGATTACATCTGCCTGCAGCTCTTCTCTAGCAGCTGCTTGGAAATAAATGGAAAAATGCCTTATTGCCACTAATCAGGCACAAAAATGACAGCTAGGTGCACCAGTCAAACTTATTAAAAATATGTATGCTTTGCTTTTCCTTACACCATTTCCAGAAAGGTCTTGGAGCATTTGCAAACATAAGCACAGTAAGTTTTTAGACGCCTGTATGAAATAGGTTATTAGTTTACATTCAGTTTATGACCAGGGAAAATAAGGTCCTGAAATATTCACAGCTCAGAAGCCGTGTCTGAGCTATGGAGTTCAGGATAGCACCAGTGTGTCTCTCTGCTCCTTTAACAGTGAAAGCTGAAATTATTTTCTCAAGGGCAGGTGCTGTCTTGGGGTAACCAGATCTGGGCTCCCTCAGGTTACTGAGGAACTTCAGAGCAGAACAAGCAAGCTAAGGCTATTTGTTCTTCACTCTATGGTTTCTTTAGGAGAACTGGAAGTGTTGTAGATTAAAGGAGGCCGTTTATTTAAGATGCTGCGTGAAGCAACAGTTGCACAGGTCTTTGATTTGGAGGATGAAACTTTCCAAAGTAACCCCTTTTCAATTAATCAAAAAAGGAACATTGCTCAGCATGCTGCGGGGGGCCTAAGCCTAGTTGCAGCTTACCTGTATTTGTGCATTTCACTCCTCAGGCTCTACAAAAAAGAAACAGTCTTTGTATGAGGGATCTTTGTGCTCCAGAAGGAGGAGGGAATGTGTAAGTCCTGTCCATCGGTGGGACTGAAGGTTAAGACAAGCAGGATTCAGAAGCAAATCGGAAAGTGGTACTGTTGTGGTAAGAGAGAGAAGATAAAGGGAATAGTGCTGAGGATAAATAGAGCATGTAGGCAAGTGGTAGAAGGTTAGTGGATTAAGAGGGAAGTGTGGTTGAGGCTATGGCTCCTGCTCTAGAACTCAGCTAAGTCTGCTTGGGCTTGCTCATCCATCTGTGAGCTGTAAAACTCCCGAGGTATCTCTTATCTGCTCTTGAACTGACCCGTGTGATCTGACAAAGTGGCTTCATGGTCAGTCTCACTGTCCTACCCGCAAAACGGAGGCGGCCTCCCTGGAGGCACGATTCTGATGTATCTGTTTATTAAACTCTAGTGTTTTCGTTACATTGGGAATTAAAAAGTTCACTCTTTTTAATTTAGTATGGATGTTTAACTTGGAAAAAAAACAAGGTCCAGAGTTGTTCCAAACTGCATTGTCACAATATTTTATTCTGATATCACCACCCTTAACTCTGTCCTGCCATAAACAAATCATTTAACTTCAATAGTTAGTTTTAATGCACTGAAATCCTTTAGATAGCTGTCATTTGGTTGTCATTCTAAAGGGTAAAGGCTAAATTTCTGTGCTGTCTCCATCAATAGCCCTGAAAAATGATTGCAGACCCATCTCACCATGATTGCAGTGTTTTAGCATTTGTGATCCCAGGTTAGAATAGATTGCTTTGTATAACACCTGTGTGGGTTTTTTGATTTATTTTTAACCACTTTTTTTCTCATATTTCATCAGGGCCATGTTAAGGCTATTAGCATGTTCAAGCTATTTAAATAGAATCCTGTAATTTCATGGGTTCTAGTTATTTAAATACAATTTATTTGATTTAAATAGAATTTCCTGATGTATTTTTACCCACTTTTCATATTTCATCAGGGCGGAGTTAAGGATATTTGTATGTTCAAATTATTTAAATATAATCCTGAAATTTCATTAGTTTCCCATGCGTGGCATTTGGAGAATTGCACTGTCCCTGTTTGGCATTTCTTACATTTACATGACTGACACACACTGCAGCTCTCTTGAAGTATCTCCCTACAATTTTCGTTTGCAGTGGCAGCTTCTGTTTTCCTAAATGTAATGCTATTTTAATACAAATAGGTCTCCAGTCCAGAATAAGTATCTTACTCATTTAGATTTCATCAGGTAACCACAATTAGATATAATTTAGTCATATATGTTGATATCACTGCATTTATTTTTAAGGGAAGTACTAGCTTCTTGTCAGAACCAGGACTATGTGAGCAGCCAGTTAGCTTCGTTGCTGTTTGCACCTCAACTGTTTCAGCTGCCCAGAAATGGTTCACCTCCAAGCTTGGAGCTGTGACACCAGACAACTTTGCTCTTCCTGCTACACGTTTCACTTTCTTTTCTCTGCACACCTCCATGACCCTTCCGTCTGCCTTACCTCTGTCCACCCATAACCCCATTCTCTGTTCCTCCAGCTCCCTTTCTCCCAATTTCTATCCCTCTCTCCCCACTTCCCATGTTCCACCTGTCGATGTCCTCTGTGTCACGGGGGGGTCACAAAGACCCCTCTCTTTGTGCCCCCTGCTCCACCCTCTGGTTCCCTCTTTCTTCCCCAGTTTCCCTCTGTTTCTCTTCATCTCTCTTGCTGTGCCACTGGATTTCTCTGTGTTTCTCTGCTCACCTCTCTCCACATGTCTCTGTCTCTCTGTTTTCCTACATGTCTCTTCCTTCTGTCTGTCTCTCTGGTGCCTTCCATAGGCATACACATTTCACATTACCTACTTCCTTTGAACTAGAGCTACTCAGTCTTCCCATGTTATTTCCCAGGCAGAAAAGTATGTCCAGATGCTGTTTGCCAGAGGTGTCAGTGAAGATGACTCATGCAGGTACATTTGAGATGTGTTAGACTTCCCATGCACACACAGGTGAAATGTATGGCAAATATATCTTCCCAAGGAGTTCGGCAGACCTTTCTTGTTGATTTATGACTGATTTAATGACTGAAGGGATGGTCAGAGGTATGAATATGTCCTAAATACAGAAACTCCCCCAAGTCTGCCCCTCTTGATTTCCATGCAGAAAAGTAGGAAACTTATGTGTACAGTAACTTTAAATTATTGAGTACAAATTCTTGTTCTTGTAGCAATGGAATTGCCTGCTCGTTGCAGCAATCTTTAGCAAAAGTGCCACTGGCTTTAAGCATTACCTATCCAGTAACAGAGGTTTTGTGTGCAACCCTAATACAAATTTTCATTATTAATAATAATATTTGCAGAGGCAGCTACAATATGCTCCATCTATCACAAATGACATAAGAACTGCTGTGTCGTAGCCTGCAGTCAATAGATTTTTCGGTGAGGTGTAGTGAAGTCAAGGCTTGAATCCTCATTTCTCAGTTGATAAGGAGGTGACAGACTTTACTGATCAAAAACCCGCTTCTGCTTTTCAGCAAAGGGAGCTTAATCATTCTATTTTGTTAGTCAGCTCTTCCCATTAGAAGTCATGTTCCTGTCTTACTTCCCTTACAAGGACACCGGTTACTCTGATTCCTTTATAGGGTTGAGCAAGTCTGTGTCTTAGTGCACTAGTTTTCTTTGACAAAAAGCCATTATCATTATTGATGAACCTGTTACTGGCTGGCAAGTTATCAGAAAGTGCTTAGAGGAAAAGCTTTCCTTACGGTGTGCTTTGCTGCAGCACTGTGACTCAGGTCCTCAGGCAGACACTGGTTTTGGAAAAAACATCACATAGGTGTCAGGTGGAAGAGGGGGGGTAGAATAAAATCAGTCCCAGTTCTCTTTAATTTCCAATGTCCAATCAATGGCAAAAGGTCTCCTACCTAGTGCGAGCCTGACGTGCAGCCAAAAGTATTGTTCTAAGTATTATCCCCTTGTGCTATTGTGGGTTTATTTTAACATCTGATCAGTAAACGGGGAAGATATGTTTCTTTATGGTACATGAGAACCCAGTGAAGAAGTTAAGAATCTTCATCACTGACCGCAGGTGCACAAGCAACGTAAAGACTTTACAGTTGTGCACAGTTTATTGTGCTTGAAACAGTTAATGGAAGACAAGCTGATTTGTGATTGTTGGGTGTTCTTCAGGGTAGAATTAGTAGCTTTCTGAAAGATGTGTTTTAGCACAGCTTTGAGGAAAAGTCCCCCTGTGTGTTTGTAAGGAAGTTGGTTTAGATGATCCGAGCTATCTGTGGCAGCAAAGAGACTGTGAAATGTGGCTTTGGCAGTTCAGCTGCTTAGCCTGCCCCTGCTGCAAATATTTTAAGTAGAGAAATGTGTTTTCTTTTTCCTGCTTTGGCATTATATTACTGAGATACAACTTGTAGTGTCCCTTGGGCTTATCAATGCACAGAGACTCTGGTTCCATACCTACATTGCACAGGGAAATTCCTTCTCAGCATACTGCCACGGACCTCTCAAAGATGTCAAATACAAGACAAGCTCATAAATAAACACAACTCTTTCTTGACTAGATCAACCAAATGATCTGGGCTGTATGGGCAGTCCAACTCAAAGTTCAGTCTTTTTTTTGACTAGGAGGAGCATGAAGTGAAATAGTGTGTGATTAACCCATGTGCATCTACATTCCCTTTGACCTGTAAGTTAACGTTTACAAAGTACAAATGCACTGCTGGCTTTGGGTTAAAGATTTATTAAAGGGCAAGGATGCCCGGTAGCTTTGAAGGCTGGGACTATGGTCAGAGTTTTTATCTTGCTGTCTGATGCCATCCTTTTTTTCCTGAGGCTTGTTCTGCTGTGGCTTACGTGGGCTTGATGGGCTGTCCTACCCTTGATTAATAAAAATCACAGAACTCAGTGACTCTTCAAAATTAGCACCTTCTTTAGCCGTTGCACCAGAGTGGGGAAGGGCAGAACAGGGCAAAGTGACTAAATTTTCTTCTGACTCCTAGGAGTGGTTCTTCTAGCCTGAAGGCAGAAGCACCACCGCAAGGTGAGCAGGTGGCTTCTCCAGCCTCTATTCATGCAGCATCTGTTTTTTGGCGACAAGGATTTTGTGCTCTTTGCTGCAGACAACTTCTTTTATGATCTTTCCTGCACAAATAAATGATAATAATTAACCTGTCTGGCATCTGCTGCTGAATGGTCTCAGAAAATGACAAGGACATATTTCCTAAGAGCCACTCCAAAAAAAAAAAAAAGTACATGTTATTAGAAGAGCCTTTTTTGCCTCAAAGCTGTTAGCCATGATAAAAAAGTATATATATTGTTGCTTTATTTTCTCATATTATGCTGAAAGGTTAAAAAAAAAAGATTAAATCCCCTGGTACTAAGTAATACACTAGCAGATAAACAGACTCTAGAGAGATCCTGTACCATTTTGCAGTGTATAAAGGGTTAACAAACAGAGAAGAAATGCAAGCTGGGGAAGCTGACATCAGAGACAAGGAATGAATGAATATATTAATACAACAATAAATGCATTTTAGCTGGATAAAGATGGGCAGGAGAAGATGTTGGGCCTTTTGGAAACAAGATACGTCACTGTAAAAGGCAGTGGACCATCGCAACAGCCTCATCAGAAAGGATCTGTCTCTCAGGAACAGAAGAGCTTTGCTTTTGGGACTGGACAACCCCTCACTAGAGGAAGTGATGGTGAGCAGTGATCCAGTAGTTGTATACGTCACAGTAGCCCTGGAAGGCTACAGTCCGTGCTGGAAAGCACTGTGCTAAGCATCAAGTAGAAATTTATGAAGGTGTTGGCCCTGTTCTGGGAAGTGTAGACCCTAAGAGACAAGCATTAAAGCGATAGGGAAGAATATACAGCTTTGCCTCTGCCACAGGCCATGACATACACATTGCCTAGGAAAATGTTAATGGAGACCATAAAGAAACAAAAGGATTACTATCCCACGTCTCTCCTTTTTCTCCCAGGAACCCAAGTTATTCACCCATGTAGTGTCCCCACTACCTGAACTTGCAAGTGATTTGGCAGGAAACTAAAGGCATTTTAATACACATGCTATCAATTTGAGTTATTTGAGTCCCCTTTGTCTATTGATCAAATATAAGCTACCTCATCTTCTATTTCACAGAATCGTGTAGGTTGGAAAAGACCTTGAAGCTCCTCCAGTCCAACCATGAACCTCACACTGACCGTTCCCAACTCCACCAGATCCCTCAGCGCTGGGTCAACCCGACTCTTCAACCCCTCCAGGGATGGGGACTCCCCCCCCTGCCCCAGGCAGCCCATTCCAACGCCCAACAACCCCTTCTGCAAAGAAATACTTCCTAAGAGCCAGTCTGACCCTGCCATGGTGCAGCTTGAGGCCATTCCCTCTTGTCCTATCACTACTACTTGGTTCAAGAGACTCATCCCCCCTCTCCGCACCCTCCTTTCAGGGAGCTGTAG